GTGGTGAAGAATCTTACTGTAGCAAACAATTTTTTGGATTAATGGTAGACAAACAGGGGCTTATGTCTGATTACAACTCCAAGCCTGGTGAATGTTGAATTTTGGATACAACTTGCACTTTTCATATGTCATCGAATTGAGAATTGTTTTCAACATACAAAGAAGTCTTAAAAGGTGTTGAGATGATTGGTAAAAACACATCTTGTCGGATAGCTGGTGTTGGTTGGGTCAGAATAAAGATGTTTGATGGGACGGTTATAACACTTGATGCAATGAGACACGTTCCAAATTTGAAGAAAAATATTATCTCCTTAAATGCTCTTGATTTAAAAGGGTACATGTATACTATTGAATGTGAAGTTTTTAAAGTTATCAAAGGAGTCTATGTTGTACTAATGGGACAAATAAGAGTCCATTTATATATTTTGCATGGTGATACAAAATCTTCTAGTAATCAACATATTTTAAGAATTTAGGTGGACTTAGAGTTGGCTTTGTACCCTTAGAGTCTAATTTGGGATCTTCTTTTAAGAATACATCTCAATTGAATTTTGAAGATATGGGTAAATCCTTCTTGCCACAATTATCGATGGTGTCATCGTATTCAATTACAAGAAATAGACACATTTTTTGCTATAAGGTTCTACATAGGCACAATTCTGCTGATTTTGTTGATGGTTTGAATGCGGTTAAGGATGTTGATTCTAGCCAAGATCCTTCTTTTAATGGATTCAGTTGTAAATCTGTTACAGAGCTTTTTTCAGCCTTGTTTGGTGGTCATTAGATCACTTTTATCCCTAATTGGGGTAGCATAGGTAGAGAATATTTCCAGTCGAAATTGATTATGGAGAAGCTTGTTTGTAGTTTTTCATTGAAGAGTTCAAGTTTATTCCTTACAATGAAATTTGTCTGTAGGTGAAGAAATTTTAAGTGTTGTTGCAGTATAATTCGTGTCAATTTATAGATTGTTAGAATTTGGATATGACCCGAATTTTTTGTTGAAGATAATTGAGAGTTTTAATCAAAATGCACATTAAGAAGAATTCTATTTAAAATGCTATTGTTGAATTTTATTCAAGTTCACTTGATGAATTCTAATTGAAATTCTACTTGAAAACCCATTGAAAGTAGGAATTTACGTTGACATGAAGAATACATTGTGATGAAGAAAATTAGGATTTTTGGAGTAAAGAAATCGAGAGTGGGCGCTGCAACGCTAGGAGCCACCGCAATTTTGGCCCTGCTCTATGCGCCGCCTACTGTTCTACTTCTCTGCGCTGTTTTGGTCTTCTTTTTCGTTTTGGACTCCGTTTTTTAGCATTCTAATTCATCTACAACTCTACTATGAGTGGTTTGACGTCTCCTATATATAGTTGACACTTCATTGCGATATTGATTAAGTTAGATAAATCATAAACACAAAATATTTGTATTCTTTCTCCATATTATAATAAAATCTTTACTCTCTACAAATTATTTTATTCTTGTGTTTTTGCGATCAATTACTTCGTATTGGGGATTAATATCATATTTTCTCCAATAATTTGATATTGGATTAATCCAGTATCATCTGCTTTTCACAACACCATTAATGTGTGATTATAATCACAAGAATGTATATGCATTGCACTATAACAAAAATCTGACACAAAACGACAAATTTCATTGCATAGTTGTATACACAACACAATTAAACCTGTTGAGATAAAAGAACAAGCAAACCCTAAGGGCAAACAAGAATTTCATTGAGGAACTGATTAATCCAAACCAGACCACCCGAGTAACATCAATAGCGCCAATGGGAGGAACCACCTTCCGAGTTTGAACTAGAAATGGCTCTGTTGGTGCATATGCAATCACATACGGGAATTTTTCCACTGGAAGTTTAGGGTCCCAGGACATCACTATTCTCGATATCAATAGAAACCCAACTGCAGACAGAAATGGCCCCTGTAGAGATTCAATACTCCAAATTAGCCAAATCAAACATTCAATCAACAAGAATTAAATGCAAGAAACTGAAAATAATAAAAGGACCACGAGAGATTTTTCGCCCTAAGGCAAGAGGTTCGGATAAAAATCATAATCCCCT